ATCAGCGTGTTTATGCTCAACTGACCCGTCTCCAGTATGAAATTTTTTTTTTTAAGCTCCATTTCACCCCCCCCTCCGCCCGCTCCCCTCCCCCCCCCCCTTGCCTTCCACCTCGAACTGCTTCTTTCAGGGCAAGAACAAGGAAGGAAATTGAAAAATCCCAGAGCGCCCTGGACAGTCCAGATTTAGGGCTGTAGCTTTTGTTCGCACAAACTCACTTGGCTCCCAACCGGCCTCCACCCATGATCCCGACATCCGCAGCAGCCGTTCAAAACACAGCCCGGAGCCCGGCCCCGGCGGGGACCGGCAGCCACCCGTGCCACCCGCTGCTCTGCTCCCCTCTCAGGCTTCTCCTCCCTCACAGCCTGCCTCCCTTCCTAACCTTTCCCTACAGCCGGGCAAGGAGTTTTCAAAGTTGAGATGAGTTTTGTTTTGGATTTTTTTAATTTTTTTTTTTTTTTCCCCTCCGCGAGCCTGGGATGATGTTCAGATTATGCAACGTTAACAGATGTGGGCTCTATAATTATAGCTGCCTGGCCTCGGGAGGAGCCCGCTTTAGCTTCACGCGTGCTCAGCTCAACGTGGGATGCTCCCGGGGTGGCCGTAGCCCTGGCAAACCGACCGCTCCATGGGCGGCCACGCCGGGGAACCATCCCTGGGGAATTGCCACCCTCCCCAGGAGGGGCTGCTTTGGGGTGAAGGGCTGTTCTGGGCAGCCAAGCAACCTCTCTTGGCTTTCCTTCTGTGCAAACACAGGTTAAATTTGCGTTCTCCGGTCAAAAGAGTATTTTTCTGCCCTTTGAGGAGAAAAATCCCTTCTGCAGAAAAGCAGCGGGGCTGGGATAGCTGGTGGTGCACCTTGGGGCTGCGATGCTCCTACCAAAATGCTGTCTGTGGGGTTCCTGCTCCCCTGGATACATCCCTCATCACTCCCTGCCCTAAAAATGTGTGAAAGATCGCAACCACTGCTGAAATCTCACAGTATTGTGTTTCTCAGTGTTGTGCTGTCCTGGGGTTGAGCCTTGAGCATCACCCTGACAGTGCCCCAGCAGCAGCCACCTCCTGGCCAGGGCGATGCTCGTGCTGCGCCCAGGGATGGAGACAGAAGATCGCTGGCCCAAAAGGGATTTTTCAGTAGTCACACAAGGTAGACATCCAGCCAGGCTGCCAGGGACAAACCCAAAGCCTGGAGAAATCAGCTGGAACTTGATCTGTTTGTCCTGGCCGCTTCATAACTCAGCTCCCAGCAAGCCGCGGGCTTGTTATGCTTGTGAAGAAAAAGTAACTCCGAGCCTCGACCTGTCTGGTGAGCATCACTGCTAGTTTTAACTGGGAAGGAAAACACCGGTCTGGTGGGTGGCGGGAGGGTTTTGTGCTGGAAGTCAAATATTTCTCTTGATGGCTACGGTCGTGTGGAGTTAAACTGCAGAAAGCAGTTGGCAGCTTAGGATGTGATGAAATTGTTAGTGACAAATCTGTACCTGAGCTAAAGGGCCGCTCTGCTTGAAGCCTTTAGTGCATCACGGGAGGCCAGATGGTTCCATGTGTGTTTTTTTGAAGAAGTTTGCATCTGGTCCATCCTCTCCAGCGGGGGGCTATCTTTGAAGGCTAATTTCTGCAGGCAAGTCAAAGAGGAGATTGCGGTTGTCTTGCATGTCTGGCAGGCTTGATGGCTCTGTGATGAGCTGAGATTTCACGTCTTTTTTGTTGAACAGCCCGATGTTTTCAGGTTTCCTTACTACATGCTGTGGGTTGGATTTTCCAGCATGGCTCATGCTCTGCACCCACCAAACCGGGGAGCTGAGCCCGTGCTGGCACCAGGTTCTCCCCCCTGCACCAGGGCCTGGCACACTTTGCAGGGCAGAGTTAAAAATGCCAGATGACTCTAAAAACCCCTGTGTAAATAATACCTTCTTTTTCAGCCCATCCACTCCTTGGCTGCACTCAAAGCTAGGTTTGCTGGTGCCCAGGATAAGGGGAAAGGTTTTCTTCCAGTTTATTCCCAGCAGCTCTGCAGAGATGAAAGAGGATAGAGAAAACTCCAGGGTAGATTTGCGGGGCAAACAACAACCAGACAAGCAACCATCAGTATTTAACTTTTGAACCGGTTGTATTCAGCCAAGGGTCATAGCTGACGGTACTGCTTGCTGGCTTTTCCAGGAGTATTTTTAAGAAGTGGCAATTAAATGCCTGCTGCAGTGCCCCACGCTATATATTTTAGCGTGCCTGGCTGGAGTCCTTGTTGACAAATGACTTGGCAACCTGAGAAAGCAAATTTCTCTCTGTCTATACTCATCCCCTAGGGGTTTCTTTAAGCATCTGCTGCTTTCCCTTTCTTCTGTGCAGCAAAGCTGGCTGCTGGGGCACAGTAAGCATGAGTTGCACAGCTGAAAGCTTTTAGCGAGAGGGGAATGAGGGAAATTCAACCTCCAGGCCTCCAGCACACCCAAATTTTTCAGCATCGGGGCAGCTATAAATGGACTCGTGGGCTACAATTACAGGGCTGGGTATTGGCTTGCAAATGAGAACAGTGAGATTTTGCGTCCCCTCTTCCAAATGGCGATGACAAGCAGCTTGTTTTATGGGACAGGAGGTGGCTCACAGCCGGCTCCAGATGGCTCGGTGTGTTCAACGAGGTGGGCATCACAGCCATGGCTCAGGCTCTCAGTAAAGGCACCCAAGGGTGCTCTGTTCCACCACACCTCTTGTCTCCTTGAGCTTCGTGGTGCTCAGACTCCCCGGATGAAATGCAGACTGTCCTACCTACATATCTCTATTTTCTTGGCGAGTTCCCACTGAAGCTATTGCAGATGGTTAGAGAACACCACTCCTGAAATTGCCACCTCTGGTGTGACAGGTACAGCAACCCCAAAGGAGACATGCAAGGCTAGGAGGAGTAGTTGTCCCATGGGGGTTTCTCTGAGGCACAGCTTTCTTACAGAAAGTGCTGGGAAGCCAAGGACAGATGTGCAAGGCTTAACCTTCAACACACTGAGCCGTGCAGCCACCCCAAAGGCGACATGCAAGGCTAGGAGGAGTAGTTGTCCCATGGGGGTTTCTCTGAGGCACAGCTTTCTTACAGAAAGTGCTGGGAAGCCAAGGACAGATGTGCAAGGCTTAACCTTCAACACACTGAGCCGTGCCTTTAGCTGCTGCCTGGGTATCATCTTCAGCCCTATTTTGAGATGCCCATGTGGGTGACAGGCAGGACATGTCCCATAGCTCGGTGAATCTCTGAGCTGCAAAGTGGGGAGAGTGCCTCTCCCAAAATATATGACTTTTCTCGGTTTCTTGAGAGGCTTCAGACTGTGTCACCTTACATGGCAGTTTCTCTAGCCAGGCTCCCATTCTGCCCACTCAGCAAGTACAGCACATGTTGGGCTATTCCAGCCCAGAGATGGCGTTTTGGTGATAAAGAAGGTGGGCAAAACTGGGATCTTGCTGTTTCAGGTGACACAGCTGTGATTTGGACTCACTTTGACTTGTTGTGAGCTTTGAAGAACATCTGCGACTGCAGTGCCAGACGAGCCTCGGGGCTGTAACGTAGGGCAGGGACGGCTGCTGTTGCTGCTGGTTTTCATGTGACTGATGTGCAGGGAAATCCTGGCGCAGCCCTGGCTGGTACCACAGGCTGGAAATGCTGATTGCCCTGATGAACCTCACTGGAATGGCTCATGGCAGCTCTCAGTAGATGCTCAGCTCCAGGCAGTAGCAGGCTGGATGGCAGACCCAAGGCTGAAGCTGCAGCTACTGCACCGAGTTCTGCTGTTGCTGCTACCGCTGCTCAGCCTTAATGATCAAGCTGAGAAGCTGGGTGCTGAGTCATATCTTAAGTCCTTGCTTAGGGCCCAATTTGGGAACATGTTTCTATTCCAGAGATGCACACAGCCATCTGTGTGCTTTTGGAGATCCCATAAAGCATGTAATGTCTGTTGGCGTCCCTGGGAGCAGTAATTTCTAGGTCCATGAGATACAGCAGGTGGTAGAAATGCGGAAGAAACTTGTGCAAAGAGGGGATGAGATTGCTGCTGTTGCCCATCGGCACGGTGGGGAGCAAGCAGAGGGAGGGGCAGAGCTAGCTAAGCTAAAGGGTATTGCTGGCTTGGGAACCAACATTTGTTCCATAAATGTGTTTATTCATTTTCTAAAAAAATAAGGAAAGGATTCTGGATGATGGGAGAGGTGGGAGTTTGGAGCAGCCTTCTAGCAGGAGAGAGAGCAGGAGAGAACTGATCCCAACACTTTTAGGATGGAGCAGGGTCTCCGTCCACCCTTGCTCACAGAAAATGGACCTGCAGTCGCACAAACTTCTTCTCCATCTTGTTTCTCATGTTCTGGTAGACATTAACATAAGATACAACAAGATATCTGTCATCCTGGGGTTCAGCTCCTGGACAACCAGTGTAATCCACACCATATGCTGATCTCTTCTGTTTGGTGCCTGGTGGTGTCTGGATGGGTTATACCAACCCTCCTGTTTGCCTTGCAGTTCTCAGCCAGCTTCATGCCAGCTCTCTGGAGGTGGTGGGACTTGAGGTCAGGCATCCAGCAAACACTGGCTGGGCAGAGAGAGGGAAGATCTATGTGGCCTTCCCTGCTCCCATCACACCCTCGGAATGGAGCACATGGACTGTGCTGGGCTCCAGCTGACCATCAGCTCTGGAGACCTACACACTCTTCCCATGGACTCCACACTGCACATACCTTCATCAGTTGTTTGTTTAAAACATTCTTTTTGCTCCTTTAAAGATTTATTCCTCCTAATGCACAAAAAAGGCGTGATTTGAATTAATCTCATGCACAAAGGTGGGTTTCAGCATTTGGCCCCACAGACCAACCTAATTTCCACTGGTGTGAACCCAAAAATAAATTTCATGTCTGTGTTTTGATTATGCAGAATTTTCTCTAGTGTAAATGAGATCAGAGATTGGCCTCAGTGTTACTGCCAGGAACCGAGCCTGACTGGATTTTAATTTTTTTTTTCTTGTTATTCCTTTCAGTCATTGAAAGCAGCCATAACGTCAGAAGAAGTTCAGACACGGAGATAAGGACTTCTGGTGCTCTCGTGGACAGTGTGGAGCTGGTGACGATGCCGGCCGGGAGCAGGGAGCGGGCGTCACTGCCAGCCAGGCACGGCGCGGTGCCGGCAGAGAGTAGAGTCACGGGGCACGTTGGTCCCCTCGCTGGCGGTGGGGATGTCACCCTGCCGGGAGCAGAACCCCCAGACACACCATCTACTGGGAGAGCAACCCACCTCCTCACCCACAGTCATCCTCCTGGTGAGTTTTATCAACACGAGACTCCCTGTTTGCCTTACCCAGGCCAGGGACTGGGTGTAGCTGGTGAATTAGGAAGTATTCCCGTCCCACTGCTAGAAATTAAGATTTTTGGAAGAAATCCAATGCCAAGAAAGCTGATTTTTTTTTTTTTTTTTTTTTTAATGTCACAATGAAGGTGATTCTTGGGAGCTGCTACTGTTGTTATTCACCACCCAGCAGCACCCCAGAGACTCCTGCCCATCCGCGGAGTTCAAAGGCTGCACACAGAGCTGAGACCTCTGGCATCCCCATGTCTCCTCCTGGGAGGAGCTGAGCCCCACCACGAACCCAGCCTAAATTATAAGTGACCCACTTAAAAATATCTGACCAGCTGCATCATGATTTGTAGCTGAGGTCCTCCCATGGAGATCGTGCAAATGAACACTTATCTTTGGGCTTGTTCATAATCTTCACCACATCTGGTGGGACTGTGGTCATGAGTAGACTGATGTACTTTTTTAAGCATGCCACTAAATCAAAGCCTGTTTCTCACACCAGCAGGACCAGGCTGTGCTGATTGCCCTGTCCCCACTTCGGTTTTTTAATTAATACCCCAGATGAAATAAGTGTCTTGCTCAGATACGAGCACAGAGCTTTTCTTTAATTTTTTAATTCCTCAATTTTTTTCCTGCTTAGGGATGAGAGTATGGAGCTAGCACGCCCAGGCTGCCCAGCTGCTCGCTCTCCTGGCAGAAGCTATTTACTGCCTTGTACTTTTTTAATGTTTTTTAAAAAAGAAAGTATCTGTTTCTCTTTCCGTGCACAAATGAAGACAAATTTCAAAATACTGATATTTTTTGGTGACAGAAACTCTCTGTTCCCAGCAGCCCCTTTTGCAGCGTGACTATCTTAAATAGAATGGCTTCAAGCTGGAGGGGAACAGATTTAGATTGGAGATTAGGAGACAGTTCTTCACTGTGAGGGTGGTGGAGCACTGGAACAGGTTGCCCAGGGAGGTGGTTGAGGCCCCATCCCTGGAGATATTCAAGGTGAGGCTCGACAAGGCCCTGGGTAACCTGGTCTAGTTGGGGGTGTCCCTGCTGACTGTGGGGAGGTCGGACTAGATGACCTTTGGAGGTCCCTTCTGGCCTGGGCAATTTTATGATTCTATGAAACACAAGGGATGCAGCTGTGACCCTGTCTATCGTGTATGGCAGGGCTGGGTACCACAGCGGGTGATGCTACTGCCACCCCAGCTGAGTCACTTTAACATGTCCAGGGAGAACATGACCCTCTCTGTCCTGCTTTCCAGTTGCTGGAAGCCATCACCATGCTGCAGGCAGCCGTGAGAGAGGCAAGAGGGCTCTGGCTTCTCCTGGCACCCCTGCAGCTGCCGAGAGGACACCCCTGGTTTTGGCAGCCATCAGCACTGATTCGGTCAAGAGGACACTGGGTGGGCACCACGGGGCCTGGGACGAGGCAGGGTTTGACAACACAACGAGGATGGTGCTGCTGCCTTCATCTGCAGAGACTCGTCGCCCAGGTGAGCCACCCCAGTTCAGCCTGGGAACAAGGAGGTTGCTCTTGCAGGAGAAGCTGGACATGGGTTGCATTGCTAGAGCTTTGTGCGTTGGGTCCAGCCCTCCATCCTCACCGTGTGCCCAGGGCAGTTTTCTGGCTTGCTTCATGCACTAAAGTGGAGAGAAGGATCCACGCAGCTTCTCCTGGCCTTGAAAATTATTAATGACTCAGTGCAGCTCCCAAACACAAAGTTGCTGTTGGCAGAGTACTGGCAAGGGGACCGTGGCTCCTGGGAGGAGGTGGAAGGTGACAGTGGAGGATGCTGGATGGGCAGCTCAGCCCATCTCTGTGCTCTAATTTCCTTTCCCCCATTGCCTTGCAGACACCAGCAGCCCATCTCAACTGGTGAGCAGCTGGGTGGGCACAGAGCTGCCTGGCAGCCCTTCCACGGGCACTGCAGCCACTTCATCCAGCCCCTCAGGTAGCAGTGGGGGGATACTGCGACCCCTCCCCAGCACCCCTCTCCCTGGCTCTCCGGGACAGCCCCAGTCCTTCCCCCGAGCTTCCAGTACCCAGACTGGTGCAAACCGTGTCGTGCTACATCCTGGGGATGTCACGGGGGACTCCACAAGCCCTTTGCTCTCAGCATCACCTGCCATGGACAGTGCTTTTGGAGGTGAGCTTTGCTGGCCCACAGATTTGTTTTATAGCTTTAAAAAGCCTTTATATAGCTTTTGCTTTCTTGAAACAGAGAAAGTGCTGTGTTTTGCATGCGCTCTGTTCGCTATTATTTGGGTGGTTAGCTGAAATTCCCTGCTGAAAGAAGGAAAAAGCAATGGAAAAAATCATTTGGTCCAAATGAAAAAAGTTTGGACCTTATCACTGTGTTTTCTGCAGGGTGGGCATCTGCAAGTGCGAAATATCTCGGCTGGTTGAGTGCCAGCTGCAGAGCAAAGGTGAGGTCCCCAGCCCCACCTGAGCTGTGTGTCCCACCAGAGCAGTGCTGTAGCAGGGTGTGAGGTTGGTAACCCACGCTCACGGCCATGCCGGGTGGGTTTGCTCTTGGCTAGACGGGGTGAAATGCCTGTACAGGACAACAAAACTGAGATCCTTGGGCTCCGCAGCTTCCCCTCTCTTGCTTTGCAAGCAGCTGATTTCTGGAGCTCTCCAAAACAGAGACTTTGCCCTCCTCCATGTGAACTTACTGAAAACCATGGTGTTGCTGAGTCTTGTGCCCGGGGCTTGCTGGGAGCAAACGCATCTCCAGGGTTCTTGCACTGACACGTCCCTTCTCTCCATCACAGCTGCTGGGACCAGCATTGGTGCTGCGGAGAACCTGAGAGCCAGGTTTTCCTCCTCAGTGGCCCTGGTGCAGGGGCCCTCCACGGAGCACCAGCTCACCCCTTCTCACACAGCTTCAGAAAGTACTGCCACGGGTGAGCTCGGTTAGTCTAGGATTTGTTGTTTTACCCTATTTTGCGCTTCCTTAAGCATTTTTCCCTGTGTCCTGTTAAGCCCTGGGATCTGCCGTGAGCCCTTCCTATGGGAAGGACGCATGCTCAGCTTTCCCCGCTTTGCTGTTTGATGCTGTGCTCAAGCTACAAAAAAATACCAAGGGAGCCCGGGTTGATTTCCACCAGCCTTAGAGCAAAGGTGGGATTTAAAAAGCAAGTCTCCACAGTCCTTGTCCCAGGGGGTTTCCTGCTGACTGAGCCGCCCCGGCTCTCGTGAAGCCACGCTGTCCTGGCAGCGAGCCCCGGGTTTTGTGCAAGGTCTTCCTGCAGCGAGGGGATTCATGCCTTTCCAAAAGAGCACTTTGTCCAGATTGAAAACTTCCTATGCTTAACATCCGTATGTGCGCTGCAAGCATCTGGGAAGAAAATGGATCCATCTGTTTATAATTTCATACATATAAATCCAGGTTTTTTTGGTGTTTTTTTTATTGTGCCGTAGCCATTGGAAGCAGCTACCAGCCATCCCACGTCTCGGCCGTGGAGAGGAGAGTTTCAGATTTCCCCACCGCTGGCACCTCGGTTTCCACAACAGCCACCAAGGGTGGAGGGAGGACGTTGAGGTCTCTGCCAGCCAGCACCAGGCTGGCCCAAACGACAGAGATTTCCACCTCTGGTACCGAAATCGCCAGCTCCTCAGACCAGACCCGGTCCCCTGGGATGTCTCTGAGACCCCAGGGTGGTGGTGGCAGAAGTGCCACAGACCCATTGCTCACGAACTCGCCGTCTGCTTCGGAAAGCGCTTCCACAAGTGAGTTTTGATAGCTAGCTGGATAATTCGGGACATTATTTAAAGACTCTTTATAAACAAAAAAATACATCCTTTTTATTTTAAAGAAAGGAGGAATAATATTGTATTTGGCACATTCTGTACATTTAAAAACATTTCACAGAAATGAAAGTATGGATAAATATTATTCTTGTTGGAAGAGGAGGATAGATTTTCCTTGAAAACTTTCAGTTGAATTTTGCAAGCAATAATTTCAGGAGTTCCTATATAGAGACCACTTTTTTTTTTTTTTCTCCTGTCTTAATGATTTCCCAGTATTAAATATTTCCGTCTTGAATATTCACACATACGTTGTCTACATCTACTGATAGCGGGATGAAACCTACCCAGCTGTTTTCATTTATGTGTATGCAGTTTTATATTTCTTTATTTCTTTTTTTTTTTTTTTTTTTTTTTTTTAGCCTTTAGCAGCAATTACGAACCCCAGAGCATCCCAGCTGCAGAAGAGGTGACGCTGCACTCAAACACCCGTGGTGCTGACATGCCCAGTGTGGCAGTGGGGACACCGGGGTCCCCTGCAAACGGCCGCACAGACGGGGTGACAAGGGGCTCTGCCACCAGCACCGACCCCACCACCTTCTCCTCCCCGGAGGCTGGAACTCACCATCCTAACAGCTCACAGGAAGCCACCCATCTCCCAGCGCCTCCCGAGGAGCCTTTGCTCACAAGCTCGGTCTCTGCCTCCCAAAATACTTCCAGAGGTAAATTTGTTAGGCTGAAAGTTGGCTGCTTTGGGGCTGGAGGAGATGTCGTGTCCCCGCGCTGTTTTTCTTTAGATAGGGCCGTCAGTTGCTATTGGATACATGGACGTTTTTATTGCTGGCTGGCAGCGGGGCTGGTGGGCAGGGTGGGAGTGGATCTTGGCTTTTGGGTGAAAAAGTGAAAAACGTCAATGTCCTCACTGCTAATGAAGCTCCGGTGCTGGGGAAGGCAGCCACATCGGTTAGAAACACGTGTGTGCACTTTTTCCCTGCTGGAGATGCTTTTGCTGGGGATTTGCAGCCATCACCCAGCGCTGTGTCTGCTGTCTGGGCTGCTCTGCAGGGGAGGTGACGTTTTGGGAGTCCCCACTGCCACAACACTGCTGACCCACCCCATGCCCTTGTAGTGGTCCCAAGCGAGCTCTACCCCACCTCTCCTATGAAGACAGGCTGAGAGAGCTGGGGTTGTTCAGCCTGGAGAAGAGAAGGCTCCAAGGAGACCTTTTAGCCCCCTTCCAGTACCTGAAGGCAGCCTACAGGAGAAATGGGGAGGGACTCTTTATCAGGGAGTGGAGGGATAGGACGAGGGGTAATGGGTTTAAATTGAAAAAGGGGAGATTTAGATTAGATACTAGAAAAAAATGTTTTACTGTGCGGGTGGTGAGACACTGGAACAGGTTGCCCAGAGAAGCTGTGGCTGCCCCATCCCTGGAAGTGTTCCAGACCAGGCTGGATGGGGCTTTGAGCAACCTGGTCTGGTGGGAGGTGTCCCTGTCCATGGCAGGGGGGTTGGAACTCGATGATCTTTAAGGTCCCTTCCAACTCTAACCATTCTATGAGTCTATGAATTACCATGAATTCACAATTAAGCCCATCGCTCTGTGTGTTGTAGCATAGCTCCTGCTGAGCTGGTGAGGTATCGGCATCCCCAGCGCTGTGGTTTGGGGGAGCCCTGGGGCAGCAATGCTTGCTAAACGAGGGGTAAACCAGGCTGGGTCAAACACTACCATGAATTCACAATTAAGCCCATCGCTCTGTGTGTTGTAGCATAGCTCCTGCTGAGCTGGTGAGGTATCGGCGTCCCCACCACTGTGGTTTTGGGGAGCCCTGGGGCAGCAATGCTTGCTAAACAAGGGGTAAACCAGGCTGGGTCAAACACCAGGCTGGGGTGCTTCTGAGCATCTTACGGATGAGGCTGTATCCAGTCCTGTGTGTCTCAGGGGGCCTGGTGCTGGGGGGGCTCAGCCCCATGGCTGTGCTATCACCCCAGCACTGAGACAGCAACTTGGCTGTCTGGACCATCACTAGAAAACCTAAACCAGGCCTTTTTTAGCTCATCCTCCAGATTTGCTTTGAAGTTAAAGGTATGTAGTCCTGATTTAAACAGGCTTAAAGGCAGCTTAAATGCATAAATCAGGCATTGTGCACAGCCTGCCGTTAAAAACCATGGTTTTAAGTTGAGATTTTCATAGCTTTTTGTTAGTCACATGTGCTTGAATGCAAGGGATTCACCTCTTCCCAGAGCAGTGCCTTTTCCAGGTTGAGAACTGTTCAGTTTCTCAACAAACAGTATAGAATTGTATACTGTACAAAAAAAAATCCCTCAAATGTGTTGTTCTATATGCTTAAATCAAACCTGTTTTTATTGTATCTTAGGTGTCAGAAGCAGTCACCAACCAGTTAACAGCTCGACAACAGAGAAAAAACCCCTCGCTTCCTCTCCCACCAGCCCTTTCATTTCAGCTATGGCCACCAGCAGCAGTGGGAGGCCCCCGAGGTCTGCCCCAAGCAGCCGATGGGCAGCAGAAGACTCCACATCCACCAGTGGCACATACAGGACCTTGGGCACAGTCCAATCCTCATCCGTGTCATCTGTGAGAGAGACCTACGGAGTTCATGGGTCCAGAGAAACCATAGATTTCACCAAGCGGGTGGCAGATCCTTCACTAACAGGCTCTCACTCTCCTTCAGAAGGTCCTTCATCAGGTGAGCTCAAGTTAGAAGTGAAATACCTTTTTTCTTGTAGGTAAAAGGAGGACTGTTACTGTATCTTATATTTGCCTGACTCTTTTCTGCTGTGTGGAATATATTGTTTGGAAGATGCAGTGTGATTTTTGTGTCTGAAATATTTCAGCTCTTGACCAAAAAATGTGGTTTGGTTTTTTGACAGAAAGGGCACATGTGTGGAAAGCTTCATTACGCCAAGAGAAATAATTAACTTTCAAATCACGATTCCCTTTTTTACTATCTTCACTTGCTATCTCAATTTTATAGGCAAGAGAACTAAGCAAGTGAGGATTAGGTCATGTCCTCGCAGAACCAGGGACTCCAGTTTCTTCTCTCTGTCTTACCCCTTGGACCATACTGCTTCTCAGGAATGAACCAGTTCAACAAAGTTAAGGCAATGTGGTCTCTGAGGTCCTTCATGCCGCAGTTTGGTCCTAGACCCCTCTGCGGTGCTGAAGGGGTCTGATCCTCCTGATCCCATTTCTTCAGACTTCTTGTGCCTTGTCTGAACTCATTTCCAGGCTTTTCTGGGTTGTCAGGGTATTTGTTTGTTCTAGCAGCACGGAGTGCACTCAGGCACATAATGGTGAAATCAAGTGCACAGCGTAGCAGTTCAACAGTTTTTATATAATAGCACTTTTCTCAGCATCAAACCACATTTTTTAGAAGACAGATCTCTGTAAGGAGGTTTCACATCTTTGGAAATGTCCTATTTTCTCTGGATTGACATCTTCTTGTCTTGACATATTTTCTATTGTGCAAGTACTTGCTGCCTCTGGGTGTTACTGGAAGAAAGCTTGTTTATTTATAGTTTCACGTTTGTAAAAATGTAAATTTTCTCTCCTACATCTTAGTTACTAGAGGAAGCCATGCATCATTCAGCATCTTGTCAACAGAGGGAAGAACCGATTTCCCTACCTCCAGCACCTCAGTTTCCACAACAGCCACTAAGGGTGGAGGGAGGACGTTAAGGTCTCTGCCAGCCAGCACCAGGCTGGCCCAAACGACAGAGATTTCCACCACTGGTACTGAATCCATCAGCCCTACAGACCATACCCAGTCCTCTTTGGGAGCCCAGGCTGGTGGTGGCAGAGTTGCCACTGTGTCATCCACGGACCCGTTGCTCACAGGCTCGCTGACAGCTTCAGAAAATGCTTTCCCAGGTGAGTCCTGACTGTCCCCATGGGACTTCTTTCCATAGACCCCAAACATCCACTCTGTATGGAGGAGTCAGGGCATGCTAGAAGGTGCTGGACAATGGCATTGGGCATTACAGAGGAAAATTCCAACTTCCAGAGAAGAATGCATTAGCTGTTTTTTTGTATTTAGTCACCGGAAAAACCCAGTCTTACTGCAAGAGCAGCATGGCCCCGAGATTTGGTGTGTTTTCTGAGACAGCATGGAAGGGAAGCAAACCCAACAGTGCTCCTAGGACTTGTTCCTAGTGCCCTCTTCAGGGTGTCCTCCTGTGAGCAGCACTGCCTTGCAGAGGAAAGGGTTGTGTCTTCATGGTTTTCTCCAGGTTTAGATCTTCTGTCATGTTATATCTGTGCCGTCAGCCTAAAGGTGCTGATGAAAGAGAGTGCGCCCACGTCTTTATGGCTTAGTGTCTATAAATCTATTTTGTTTTGTTTTGCCTTTTCTCAGCAGAAGGGACCTCAGCTACAGGAGGACGCCTGCCCAATGCTCCTCTCACCAGTACTCCCAGCTCGGTGACAGCCACCAGCAGTGGGGAGAGGAGCACAGAGCCCATGTCAGACACCCATGTGACATCCAGTGGAGCAGGGAGCTCCGCTCCCATTCCAGCCCGCACCAGCTCCTTGGACGTGGTCCTTGTGCCATCTGCATCAGCTGGAGAGCCTGGGAGTCAGAGCAATGTTTCACAGAGTGGTGCTGGACTCAGTGATCTTCCAACGAAGCCGCTGACTGCATTTCCTCCTGGCATTTCAGTGTCTTCGCCTTCACCAAGTGCTTCAGGTGGGTCTTGTGGTTTCCTGGTTTCCCATGGAGGGCACCCCTCCTCCTCACCCCCTCCTGAGCTCCCACCCTCCCTTTTCTAGCTTTAAACCAGTTTTGCCTTTTTAGCAAGCCAGGTTTATAGCAAAGGGCATCTGAGCACTGTACAGCTGGTACATTATATGTTTCACTGCCTCGGGGCAGTGCTTCTCATGTCAGGAACAGGATGACCAGGCAGCTTTTCTGGGCCACATGTGCCCCTGTGCAATGGAGCCTTGACCTTAGCCCTCAAACTGAGGAAGCTTGGCATGAAGTGTGGTGAGGGATCAGTAGACTCTTCTTTATATCCCGGCTATTGTGTGTTTCAGCCTTGGCTCTGCTTCCAGGGTTCCACCAGAGCTGGTTTGACACCCACTGGTCCTCCCAAGGGAACTTTCTGCATGATGTCCAATACCAGGTCCTATCTCCCTGCCACTGTTCTTCTTCAGAAACACCATGCACCCCAATCTGTTTTATTTTTCTGCTGTAAAGGCGAAAAGCACAGATTGCCTGGGAAACCCCGCTTAGCAAATAAGTGATGTTGGTAACTGAGCTCCATCTCCACTGTGGGATCTGAAATTCAGGTTTTAGTCCCTGTAGAGGCCTCAAAGATATTAGTAATATACAAAATATATATTTTTGTATGTATCTGTGTGTATCGCTGCTTTGCAATTCCAGAGAGAGGAAGAGTTTCTGGTGCTCCTACTGAGACCACATACATCTCAACTGTGCTCTCCAGCCATGGGGAGGGGACATCTCAGGCTGCAGCTAACCACAGCACATGGAGCACACCAGCGGCAAACCCCACATCTCACCTGGACACAGCTGGGGAGCCCCACACCAGCCCCCTCCCATCCTCCACAGAATGGCCTGGAGCAGGACACGTCTCATCTGGCCGAGCAGGGTACCCGGAGACCAAGGTCACCCTTTCATCCAGGGTCTCCACCTATTTCTCAGCTGCTAGTGAACCTTCCAGTGAGTTTTTCTGAGCTCTGGGGTGGTGTTTGGACTAGGAAAAAACCCACTACTCTCCCTCCTCCTCTTCCATGGGGTTGATATGACCACCAGCATGTGTCAGAACTGTTGTGGGTGTCGTAGGCAGAAGTTATAAGCAGTGGTGGTTCTGCTCCTTGGTATTGTATGTCTGCAGCTGTTGGACTTTAACAAAAATGTCTCAGAAATGAGAAGTCTAGCTTCTTGCTGTAGGACATTGCTACTGCCTTCCTGGGCTGGGGTGGTAGTTATAAATAATTATAAATATGTCGTTATGACCTGGTGCTGATTGTCCCTCTGCATCCGGAGAGTCCTGTTTCTTTGGAGGACACTTTGTTAAATCCACATTTAGGGTGATAGCTACATGAGATTTAATCTGTGGTCACCTGTGCAATTTTATTAAACTGCATTTCAAACCAGGATTTTTGTAGAAACTGCAAGCACTCTGCGCTCTGAGATGGTAAAATTCACATTCCTGCTTTTCCATCCTGTTCCAGCTGTGGGCAGCAGCCATCCCTCAAGCGCCGAGGAAAGGCGGTCCAGCCCCATCAGTGATCCCGTGTACAGCTCATCCACATCTGCTGGTGGTGGAGAGAGGATGCTCCACTCAGTGACAGACGGGGCGCTGGCTGGTGGCATGGAGACCTCTGCTTCCTACGCTGAAACCACCAGCTCTGTGGGGCCGGCTCAGCCGAGGTTGGTGGAGCAGAGTGGGATGGCCAACGCCTCGGCCGGCAGCGGGGGCTTCTCAGACTTTGCAACGGAGACACTCTTCGCACGTTCTTCCAAGATGCCCACTTATTCCTCTTTCCAAAACGACCTCACAAGTAAGTTGGTGTCTCCTGGTGGGGGGAGTTCACGCTGTCGTGCCTTTACCTGCCTTGTATACAGAGTTTTCGTTCATTGGTACATGCAGTGCCACCTGTGGGTACACCTGGGGGGATGTTTTCATCCAAGGACTCAAAGCCAGACCCCACCTGGCTGGGCAATCATTCCAGAAGTGAAACCATGAGCCTGAGCAGGGAAACTCTCCTATTTTGGTAGCCGCATTATGTTTTTTGTATCCTAACTGATTTCTTGTAGGTGATGCTTTCTGAACTGTTTCATGTCGACTTAAGTAATTTGTAGAATTAAATCAAATGTTCATTACCTTTTTTTTTATTATTTTTAGAGATTGCTGAATTTCTGTACACACTGAAATTCATATTGTAAGATTGACTGCACCTTTTATGCTAAATAACCTGAATTTTTTGCAGACTGATGTGCTACTCATTTAGGATTTCCTGACTGCAAAGTTTTCTACTGATGAGTTTATGATAAGCTGAAAATTAACATATTATACTAATTTCATCCTGCAAAGGCATGAAGTTCACTGTGCGAGAAAACAAACTAACTGAAGAAGATGGATATTCTTTAGTCGGGAACAGAGGATAAGAGGGAGAGGATATGAGTTTTATAGATTATGAGTGATAAAGAGAACAGATGGGTTTTCCTGCTTAGCTTGCCACAAAATAGCACGGAAAGATAAGCGTTCAATCACATTAGAAAAGCTATACTGGAAGAAGAGTGTTTTAGAAGCCTACACCTTTCACAGGAGCCTTGTTTCTGTCTGAGTTCAACATTTTAGAAGGAATGAAGGAGCGCAGAAAACTCCTAATTTAGCACCCATGCTTGGATGGTGTTCTAAATTTTTTAGAAGCGGGTGGGCAAGTTCACAGACAAGAACATTTTCTGTATTTTGCAAGTGATTTTAATATAACATCAAAATACTTTGATATTACTCCATCTTTCTAATATATTTTGTCCTTTTACTGCAGGCTTTTCAAGTAGCCATCAGCCGGTCAGTAGCATCGATGCTGAGAAACGGACCTCGGTTTCTCATACGGATGGCACATACATTTCAACCACATATACCAGAGGAGGAGAAAGGACACTCCTGTCTATCTCAAATAGCAGCGCCTCTGCTGACTCCTCAGAAAGTTCCACTTTTTTTTCTGAGATTTCCAACCCTTCTGATTCATCGAGGTCTTCTGTGGCACAGGACAGGAGGAGCAACATATCCAGCGATGGCAGTTTTGTTGAACCATCTACGGAGCCATTGCTGGTACACTCATCCAAACTGTTGACTTCTGGTTCTCCAGGCAGCATACAAAACACAACTGTCTTCAACACTGACTCTGAGTTATTGACCACTGGTAGATCACCTGTGTCTTCATCAGCATTTCCAGCCTCTTCTGCAGTGTCATCACTGAATCACTTGCTGTCATCAACACCACCACCAACTTATTTATTTACATCATCAGAGTCATCTGAACCACTCTCGTCCTCTGTGATGGCATCTTCACCCCCTCTGCAGGCTTTGTCGTCCTCCTTGCCCAGTTCCTCATTGCTTTCCCCATCCTATTCATTAGCATCATTATTGCCTCTGTTCTCGTCGCCGTCGTCCATCTCTCAGTCCAGTGATAGTGGTCCAGCAAGCACCTCTGTAGCTACGACTGTGGTCAGGCAGGCCCCCTCCACAGCCACTGTGGCTGGGAGCTCACCCAGGGGGACCAACAAGCACAATGTCACGCACCAGCCCCAAAACAGCACCACCTTCACCTCCACCAGGTCTCCTGCTCTCCCCACAGTGCCCATGGAGCAGCTTGGTGGACGCATCGTATCTGTGTCCATTCCCATGACGGTAATAGAGACCACCTCACCGAGAGCCACCACCACCCAGGGAGGCAGCTTTGGGACAGCAACGCCACTGCCCACCACAGCCAGTGATGTCCCACGGGCTGAGCCGACGGATGCACCCCTTAGTCCCTCACCAAGTGCAACAAACCACAGCATCATCATCCCTGCAGTGGCACTGACAACTGTGAAACCTCCTGTGCTAACAACACCGGCCGGTCACCAGCCAACCCCAGGTGATGTCAGCACCACGAAAGCCCACAGACCTCAAACACCCACTACCACTAAGCACATGTATACCACTGGTGAAAGCACAGAAGCTGTGGATCCTACCACTGCAAGGCCTGGTAAAGTCACCGAAGAAAACATCCCTGTTACGAGTCCTTCTGAAGCTCCTCCAACCAGCAAGACCACTGTGAGCATTGCAACTACTTTGGCTGCTACCAAGCCAACCACGCTTCCTCCATCAAGTAGCACTACTGGGCTGAGGACATCATCTCCGGCAACAGGTAATACATCTAATGGCATCAGTCGTGAGGCGGGGGAATAGGGGACCAGCAATGCCTGGCTCGCCCTTTAAGGGTCTTCCAAGGGTTAGGTATGTATGTATAACAAGTCTGTTGTCAGCAGAGTTTGAGGATAAGGACTCAGTCTCCATGTTTGGTGTTGTTAAGCTAAGGGATTAGCGATCAAGCTGAACTGCTGGAAAAGGGTGGGCATTTTGGTGAACATTTCTGATGGAAACATTAAACTGAAAATTGAGAATTTCAAGAAAACGAAGCTGACAGGCTTTCCAGCTAAGTGTAGGATGCACTTCATATTTGTCAATCAGTCACCCATATTGGTCGATACCAATCAGTATCTAGCTTACTAATGAGAAAAGGTGGTTGGCCAGAACTTGGTATTTGTGTTGGAACTTCTATTATTACAACCTGTGGTTGTTTTCTCCCCACCTCACTAAATAATCTCCTACTCAAGGGCCTGTTGCTTCTCCTGGTAGGCTACGTACTGTAGTCTTGCTCAGTGCATTGTTAGTCATTTATTACTGCTGCCAGGCTCCTTAGCTTCTCAAGTAAATATATTCAGCAAAGTTGTATACAAATGGAAATCGATTCTGTGTTTACAGTCCAGGAGCCTGGCCCTCATGCCACTGTAGAATATTGTGTATGCTAATTGCATTAATCACAGTAAAATACTGGCAATAGTATATATTCCCTCCAATAATTAAGTATTTAAAGGTTATTTCTCAGGCTGATTGATTTTAATTATAGCTATTTCTTCATGTAAGGGAATGGATTATTTTTTTTATCCAAAACTAACATAATGTATCCTTTTTACCAACTGATTCACACTTTTGCCAAGTTATTCTTTCCTTTAAATTCCATGTTTTGCCATTTACCAGAATGAAAAAGATCCTTCTGCTGCCTGAGATGTGGTGCTTTGTATGTTGGCACTCTCTGCTGTGGGAGAAGCAGCTGCCACAGTCCCCACTGTACAAAGCACAAACTGAAGGACGGCAAAGCAAAAGCCACCACGTTAACATACACCCACTCATTTCTGTCTGCTTGGTTCAGAGGCACCAAATCTCCTTCTCGATGACGCTGAGGTGGTCATGCCAGGCTAGTTGAGACACAGAGACTGTGTCAAATGGTATGTCCCAAGTCGGCTTGGGACTGTCTGGTCTGCAGAGCCTGTGTGATGCCTTGGGGTGTCTGGGTGCTGTCAGAAACACACGCGTGGGTTTGACTCTCACGCTTTGTGCTTAGACCACAAAGCCCATCCTTCCTGCCTCTGCTGCAGGGCTCGGCAGCAGCTGCAGAATAGGTACAAGTGGTGTGTAAACTGTCTGGCATATCTTGTAGCATCTTGCTGCCGACAGGTCCACAGTCCTGCCCACTGCCTGCCTTTGCATGCATGTGTGCCATGCATTTGTGCTTGTGTGAGTCGTACACACATGCAGAAGGAGCATTTTTGATGAGGAGGTGGGTTTTTTCAAAGGGAGGTATTGGGTATCTTCTCCAGAACTTGTAGTTTGAGTTGTCTAATCCATGAAGCACCCGAGACTACCATCGTTAATCCCCTGCAGCACCCTATTTCACAGTTGGTGTCTGGTCCCCAAGCCCTTGCTCATGCAGTGGGAAGTGCATCACGAGCGGTGGCACAGGCAGATACTACTGCTGTGAACATCCTCAGCCTGTCATGGAGGTGGCTGCAGTCCCAGTAGAGGAGGTGACAGCAGCTGAGAAGAATGCCTGCACCACTGCTGGGTAATCTACGGACTGCATCAGTGTTCAAGCACTAGCTTTCGTTCATGGAAACAGGGCTTGGATGAAAAGGGCAGGGCTTCAGTGAAGGAGCCTGTGCTCCTGTGTCTAGCTCTGGCTGCCAAGGTCCCTTCTTCGGTCCTCTCCATCTGTAGCTGAAGGGTTGTTTGTCTTTGGAAAGCACCCAGAGATCTGCAGATGAGCAGTGCTGTAGACAAGCTGGGTGTTAATATTAACATGGATCAACACTGTATCCCAAGAGCTTTTGCATGAATATTCAAGAGAACGTGGTTTGTGTTTCTTCTTTCAGCTCCAACAGAATACTCAAGAACTGGATAAATAGTAAGCACAAGTGATGCAACAAAGCATCTGATAGTGCTCAGGGGGTCACAGAAGAGGAGCCAAGTTGATCTTGTTTTAGCCCAACAGTTGATTTTTGTGATTCTGTAATTATAGCCTGTTTTTTTTCTGCTTTCGTAGATGTGGATAAATGTCTTTCCAACCCTTGTCCTGCGCTGGCCACCTGCAACAGCACCCGTGGCTCCTATGTCTGTCAGTGTCCTCTTGGATATGAGCTGGAAAAAGGAAAGTGCAATTTAGGTAAGAAAACAGAAGTGAAAACCCAGGGAAGAAAAAGATGGAAATAATTATCTGTAATCTTCTAAAACAAATTAACCTGGACTCAGACTAGTTTGGGAACTTAGCGTTCCTCCCAACCATCACTTTTAACAAGAGCCTTTTAGTGTTTATACAAGTGCAGTGTCTAAAGCCTGTTGTGTTGGGGTGCCCCGGGGAGCAGGCGCAGGGATAGCTGAGGGTTTCTTAAAAAAACACAGCGAGAGGCTTGTTAGTGAGGACAGATGTGCCCCTTCTGTTCCTCATGTGTTTTATAACCCCCAAAAAGCATTCAGCAGCAGCTTATCGTAGCTCCCAGCTCCGCAAGCCCGGGTGACGGTGCTTGGCCTGGGAGCAGTGAGTGGGGCTATTGTGTAACCTGGCTTCAGTGGGATCAGCCATGTGCAGAAAATCAAGCAACCGTGAAAGTCTTTGCAAGATCAAGGTCTTGTTTCATACCTTTAGCATTTTTCACGCAGCACAGTTATTACTTGGAACTCAGGTTCCGACCCCCTCCTTTCTATTAGAGGACTCTCAATCTCAAGGATTTACAATGTCCCATTGTAAAGGGGAATTTGTTTTGCTAGAGTTTCTCCTGACCCTTAATCAGTGAGGATTAGAGGCATGGAAATTTTGCTAAGGAAACATGGGTGAGGTGTCCCTGAAGGGTGTTTTGAAACATTTCTTCGAGTTGGAATGTGTCAGCTTCTCATTTAGAGAGCTGTTTTGATTATGCCTTGAACTGGGATATGGGCAGATTATGTAAATACTGAGAAGGTGATTATTTTTACCTGGAGTTGTTATATTAGAGCTGTCTGATATAAAATTTGTGATGAAGATAGGCTCTGTTGTTGGGGAAAAATGGGAAGGAATTGGAGGCTTTATAATGTTATCTGTGACCTTATTTGTTTTTCTGGTGGAACATAAAACTGGAGCTCTGAGTTCTCATTTCACCGAGTATCTCATGACACTTAATACAAGATTTAGGGATATTATCTCTCCGAGTCTGGACAACTCGGATTATTGCATTCTGCTGCCATGAATCAAATATAAATCTAAGCACGGAAAAATGCATCCTTTGGACCTCTTTTCAAATGTCATTGCTCATTCTGTCCAACAATTTGAAAAATGAAAATGTCCTTTCTACAGTGCTGTATTTTGACTTGCTGATTTGCTTTCCTTCCATGAGAGGGAGGGGTAAGAGATTTGGCAGGTTTACTCCAAATCATTATAAATAGCTTTGGTACCTGAAACTATCTTGTTAATAAACTTTCCCAGCTCTTTCTGTGTTCAGGGGTCTTTTTAAATTAGTCTGTGTTTCTATAGGAAATGTATGAACTCTGCGGTGAAATGCTGGCGGCTCAGCAGCGTTGAGCTCTGGAATTTGACTGGGGCTGTGGGAACATTGCAGCAACCCCTGGGAAAAATCCCAGAGCTAGGACTTTGCTTTACTGGGGCAGTGAATGTCAGATTTGAGTTTTTCTATCTATCTGCTGTGTTGAAGGGTTTTTCCATGCAGACAGTCTCTTGTGTACGGCGGATGAAACCGCAGCTACACATGGCACGGAGGCATGTGTTCCAACTAACTTGTCTTATTCTCCTTTTTAGTAAGAATATTTATTGGCCAGGTCCCCCTGAAACTTAATAATACCCATGGGAATTACTCAGAACTTCCCTACATCGAGGACAAAATCCAGTCGATGGTGAGTGTTGTTGCCGGGATTTCGGTGATGCTGATGGGACAGGTCCCCTTTGCTCCTCTTACGGTTGTCATGGGAAGCCACAAGACTCTGTAGTGTGGATTTAGCCTTTTTAATCACTGAACAATCCTGGTGTGGTGTAAATTAGGACTGTTGAGATGTTAAATCCCAGCACGCTTCTCTCCCCTGCCCTGCCCAGCTGTCATGACAGCAGGGGAAAGATACAGCTCCTATGGGGCTTAAGACAGCATATCCGCCCAGAAAATCCTGAAGCCCTTCTTGTGGAAATGGTGTAGTTGGGTTCACGCTTCTGTAGCCACCATCCTTTCCTAGCATCTTCTGGCCCGCAGTGCCTTTTCCAGACCTCAGAATGGCATTAGTGCTCCTCCAAGGTCAAGCATTATAACAGTAACTCTGAGCTTCATCGTTTGTCTGTAAATCTCACGGGTGCTGGGGCAGGTTGGACTGCAGCTGGTGCCACCTTGCTCTTAGCCAAACCCCATGGGATGTAGCACAGCAGCAGCACCCACCCAAACGTACCTTCCTCTTGGTGGAGTTTCCCAGCCACTCTATCACAACCACATGTCCCTCAATCTGTTCAGAACAAGCCCTGGATGAGCTGGTGGCTTCCCGGTACTTTGTGCTTTCAGTTGCTCCAAAAAGACCCCTGGACTGGGGATAGGTACATCTCTGTGTGTTATTTAGCCAGATCATAGCACGCATGAGTTCATTCTGTTAGCTGGCTGTAGTTCATCCCAACTCTTTTTGGAGTAGGTGATTTGGAGATGCCGCCAGAAGAGAGGGGAGCCAGGGTGAGTCGCCTTGATGCTGCTTGCACAGCTTGTGCTGGGGAGAGCACAACCAGCTGCATGGATCCAGGGAGAGGGAGGCTCCTTGGAAGATGAGCAGTTCCTGAGTGTGCTGCTTTGAGCTCGGCCTTGCCCTCTCCTGGCTTCTGGCTCGTCCTCTACCTTGGCAGTCATTGCACAGTGGGACCCCAGGCAGATGCTCATGTCAAAACTCCCAGGTCTTTGTTCTTCTCCAAGGCTGTGCAGCAGTGACTTCAGCTGTCCCTTGCTGGCAACAAGGTGGTGCATCTTTCTTATTGAGCAGATGATCTGCTGGGATGCTCAGAGCTCCCTTGGCCTCAGCAGAAAGCTCTGGCAAACCCAGGGGATGGTGTGGGTGACCCAGGAGGGCTGACCCATGCTGCATCCCACCAGGCTGCCTCCTTCCATCGTTCCCCGGGGCACTAACAACTGCTCTCTCCTTCCTTGCAGCTTGATGCGTCGCTGTCGAGCTTGCCGGGGTACCACCACTCCACAGTTAAGGCAACCAGGTAAGGCTAAAGCTACAGCTACCTGGGGAAGAGTGAGAAACTTGAGCATTCAGGATGTTCAACTTGAGATCCATGTTCATCATTTTGAGTCGGTGCTGGGCTTGATGCAATCTGGCCTGGCGGTAGCGCAGGGCGTGGGGAACGCCTGACCACCTTCCCCAGCTCTCCTGGAACCCTTCTCCTGGCCTGAGCAGCTTGGGGATGGGCTTGCGAGCTGCCTGGGAGGGATTTATGGCTGGTTTCAAAGTGAGCTACCGGCACCCCTTCCAGCCCCAAATTTATCTTTCTGTGTGTAAGTTTTTTGTGTCCTATTTTTAAGGTCTGTTACAATGCATGGCTGTTTCAGTACGTGTGCAATATCATGTCTGTGATAAGCATTGCTTCTGTTAATGAGTCCTATGTATAACATGCATTAATGAGAGTCCTATGTATAAGGTGCTAACGATGATACCAGACTGACCCATGGTACTCAGGGCTGTTTTGTTTTGTTTTCTGTTAGGGAGGCAAATTTTGTGCGTGTTTCAGTGCAATCCACGTTCTCTTTAGCATCCAACGTGACTTTCTATGACGTTGTCGGCAGCGTGAAAAGCTACATTCGAAATTGCAACTCCTCCAACAAATCCTGCCAGTTCATCTCCAGCCTGAAACCACTCCACAGAGGTAAATAGCATCTGGAGGAACTGTGATGGGAAGGGAAAGGGATGTTTTATTTGGCTCCTTTTATAACAGAGGGAGAAAGATGTTGGTGTTTGTAAAATCCCTCTGAATCTTTTTTATCTTATATAAATGGGAGTCATCTTAAGAGCCCTGCAGTACAAAAGGGATGCAGATATCGAGCCTTATCTTTGCCACATGTGTGAGAAATCTGCCTCTCTGTGAAAACATCATGCAGCACAGGATTAGAGGCATTGTAGGGCAGGCTTTCATCTCTGGGATGTGACACTGGGCCCCGGCCAGATCAAAAAACCATAAGTCTTAATTCCACCCGCACAGCCGGGAGCCAGGGAAACAGCGTGAAAGCTGAGACAAATCCCCCCAATGAAGTCAATTAGAGCTGCTGGAGGCGACGCGGGTGTCGTGGTTTAGGACCATGCAGCCGCTCGCTGGGAAGTGGAAAAGAATTGGAAGAGTGAAAGCAAGAAAAGTTGTGGGTTTAGATAAAGACAGTTTAATAGGGAAAGCAAAAGCTGCACATGCAAGCAAAGCAAAACAAGGAATTAATTCACCACTTCCCATGGGCAGGCAGGTGCTCAGCCATCTCCAGGGAAGCAGGGCTCCATCGCATGTAATGGTCACTTGGGAAGACAAAAGACCATCACTCTGAACAACCCCCTCTGCTCTTCCTTCTTCCTCCCCCAGCTATACTGGGCATGACATCATATGGTATGGAATATCCCTTTGGTCAGTTGGGGTCTGTTGTCCCAGCTGTGTCCCCTCCCAACTCCTTGTGCCCCCCCAGCCCTCACTGGTGGGGTGGTGTGAGGAGCAGAGGCCTTGAGGGCTCAGCAGCGACCAAAACCACCAGTGTGCCATCAACGCTATTTCACATCCCAAATCCCAAACATAGCGCTACACCAGCTGCTAGAAAGAAAGTCAACTTCATTCCAGCCAAAACCACCACAGCGGCGAGCTGTGCTCTCCTGCCTGCCCAATTTCAGTGTTGCAGGGTGTAAAAATCGTTCACAATTAAGAGCTTTCAATTTTTGTACCAAACTCTCTACCTGCCAAAGGGGATTGTGGGCCCAGCACAAGGAGACCTGGAGAAGCACATTGGTGTGGTGCAGCACCTTCTCCATGTGGACCCCAGGTGGTGGCCCTCTGTCTTTCACCTCCTTGTCCTCACTTTTCAAGGGTGGGATAGAAGAGGTTTAGCTGTGAGAGGAAGCAGCAGATGAAGGGAAGGAGTACCCTTGAAAGATGGGCTCCTGCAAGGAGCTTTGTGACTCTGGGCTTCGAGGCTTCAAGGTTTGGCTTTGAGGATGAAGGGTGGTAGTGCTTAGCCTGGGTCTAGGGAGAAACCCCTTGGATCGTTTTGGCAAAGTAAACACAAAGATGAGAAATTTAGCTTGTGCTTTTATTTTAACTTGCCACACTTATTTTAAAGCCACACTTCACCATGGATTGAATTAAATTATTTTTGGTAGACCCACTCAGATTATATCTAGCTGCTATCTCTGAAACAGGGCTTCTGGTAAAGGCTATTTCTAACTTAAAATAAGCAGAATGAGAAACAAATTATGTTCTTGTGCAATTACTTAAAAGAAAAGATGTCAGATCAAAAAAAAAAGAAAAGATGGATCTAGCAGGGACAGGTTCATAAAAGGTGAGTGCCAAATGGAGTGACACTTTTTCCATAAAATCATATTTCTCATTAATATTTTTTCGTTTGTTCATTCCATTTATTCTGACCCCCCAGTAAATAATGTAAATTCAGTGACAGGATTTCTGTCACTTACCCACAGTTTTCCTGAATGCTCATTGTAACAAATCAGACTTTCTAAATTATAACGCTGCTTCAAAGTAATGTAAATGAAAGGACAGATTCTTTCTTTGTAAAATGCAAAAAAAAATCCAGTGTTTAATATTGAGATGGAAAAAAAGCTGCTTTGGGCTGAGCAAAATGTTTTGCTTGATATAAACTTAAAAAATTGATTTGTTGAACTGTCTTGGGGGGTGAATGTGTTTCAGCTTGAGCCAAAGCAAATTTTTCTTTTTCATTTCCCCTTCTGCCTCCGAGCTGAAACGCTTATTGTTCGCCCCCTCTGTTTGCCTGTGCAAACAATGGTAGAGAGACGCAAGAAAGGGTGACGGTGCAATGTTGACCGTCTCCTAATGGAACAAATGTTATTAAAAAAAAAAAAAGAAAAGAGATTAAAGCAGCACATGAGCTGAATGCTATGCCTGGGGAAAGCAAATGTGCATGACAGTGGGTTCAGAGAGAACCACGCTGACGTTGGCCACCTCTTCTCTTCCCCACAGTTGGCAGCTTGTGCAAGCAGAAAGACCCCAAGTGCGACAAGGAGACTTCCGAGTGCACCGACTTCGATGGGGTCGCGCTCTGCCAGTGCAAAAGTGGGTACTTCAAATACAACAAGATGGACCACTCCTGCAGAGGTATTGCTCTTTGTGTGGCGTGTTTTACCTGAATTTTGCTTAAACTTTTTGTTCCGGTGGAAGCGAGTGTGTGTGCATATCACTGTGCGTGCAAAAAGCTCAGTATTATGAATAAATATTAGCAGCTCAAGTTTCTTTTATTTAGTTAGGGGACTTTTCAGCAGACGCTGAAGATACAGCCTCTCTCTAGGAATAATATTATCTCTTTCTGGAGCACGCTGTGAGTCACAGTGATGGAGAAGAGGGAGAAAGGGGCCCGGCTGCTTTGGGCTCCAGTTCAGTGGCACTGAGCAGAGATGACGTGTGGCTCTGCCTGTTTTGATTTTGTCTGAACTCTCAGTGAACTTAGGAGAAGTGCTTTAAACTTACAAGGTTATATTAATACATCATCAATATTTTAAAAATAAGTATCTGAAAATGATTAGTAATTTATTTTTAAGCTGTGTTTTTAATAGAAATGTTAGGTTTAAGGGTTATATTAGTTTTTAGCTACTCCTCAGATCATCAAATCTGTTTTTGCTACATTTTAAACAAGGTCTTTCTCCATGTGCCAGTGGTCAAAACAACTTCTGTAGGATCAGGGTGTTCATTCCCTAGTTCCAGTGGTTGTTGGAGGGCTTCTTAAGAAGTTGAGTTTTCTGATGACATAAGAATTGCAATAGTGGCTATATATTGTTTCTGGCAGTGTCTGCTGAGTTGCTGTTGGAATAGGAAGAGATGCTTTGTCAATTCTAAATCAGATCAGAGAGTGAGGAAAATGTGTCTGGAAATAACACGTGTGCTGCAGGCTCTGGAATGGACATCTCACAAATGCACATCTCTGGGTCACAGATCACGGTCCTGCTTCTTCTCTGCTCTGTGGCTCCAGGGAAAATCTTTCTCCTTTGGGTTTTGCTTCCATCCCTTCATCTTGTATGTTGGGAGAAGGATGTTTATTAGGAAATACTGTCTCTACCTACCCTTCAGAGGCAGAGTGAGAGACTCGTGCAGTGAGCGGGGAGTTGAGCTGAAACTTGGGAGGCTCTTGCCCAACTTCTGCTCCAGCACCAATGGTGGGGACCTAGGATGAATTAACGCCATTTTTCTTGTCCATGTCCCTCGCCAAGCAGTGTTGTGAAGATAAATAGCTGAAAGGCTGTGAGGCACTTGGGTGTGATGAATGGAGATCTAACATCTTGTACGTGTGGTTGCTCCCTACTTACAGCTCTTGTTTGCTGTGCAAACTATAAAAAAACCCTGCACCCACATAGTGTAGGGCCTCACTTCCCTCTTCAGCTCTCTGCTGTCAGTAGGAATCTTCTTATTGATCAGCTTGAGAGCATTTCAGGGACAGGTTTGATGTTTAAGCTGCAGTGCAGTGGCGTGACAGTAGCACCGACCGCATGGTGCCTTGCTCCAGCAAGATACCAGATTTTCAGCATCACTTTGTTCCCATCTGGGAGAGCCAGGTGGTTGGGATTTTTAAAGGCTTTTTCAAAAGCCAAGCTGTGACCCTCATTTGATACTTAGGGCTATTTTCTGATAAATATAGCATACAATATGCCAGCCTCTTTGAAAATCTCTGCCCTCTTAGTAACTAAACAGGAACTGAGGTCTCCTGAACATCTGACCCTCATTGTGGGTCGTGAAAATGTGGCGTGGTAACTCCAATTCTAGTATTTGCAAAGAGGGAAATGGCTATTGTGTTGCCCTGTCCGGTCTCCCCCGTGGGAAGGCAGGTATGGCTGGGAGAGCCGCTGAAGACTGGGGGATTGGCCACCCTGACCCCTAGGGATTGTTCTGTCCTGCCTGGCAGTGTCTGTCCCCTGGGGGATGTTAAAAAAAGCATCCCCTGGACCAAGGAACTGTTGGGTCTCTGAGCCACAGGAGTTTCGACGTGTTGACCGTGGTACCGCTCTGTGCAGTTTGGTCATCTCCGGGTTGTTGCTGGTTTTCAGTCTTCCCAGTATCTTCAGAGCTGTTTTAGAAACAGGGTGACAAACGCAATGTGCCAACTTTTCCAGGGCATGCTATTTTTAATAGTACAGAGTGTTTCCAGAGCTAAGCAAGGAGCAGCAAAGCAGGTTTCCAAAGAGACCCCTGAGTCTCTTTCAGGAAGGCAAAAGCAAAGGAATCCCGAGTAGAAAAGCACAACTCGATAGCTGTGCTTGGCCCCTGACACTTCAGCCCTTCCTCTGTTCCCTGCTCATGCATGGAAGCTTGCTGAGTAAGTGTGACAGCATGAGCTCTCCTGGGAGCGTGTTCAAAGGAGCAGGAAAGATGCCAGAGGAGAAAGCAAAGTGGCAGGAAAACGCTGGGTGAGGAGAGGAAAAGACATAAGCACTGAGCATTTCAGTAAGACAGAGAGGTGTATGTTCAGGATCTTGCTTTTTCCTCTTTCCGCCCCGAGAGCTCCGTGCCAGTGGGGTCCCAGGGCTGCTCCTGCCCAAGGCACGGCTCCAGCTCGAAGACCACTCAAGGTGTACGTGTCCTACACATGTTACTTGGCTAGTGCTGAGGGGCTGAGATTAGGCTGGGCTCCAGCATCTGCCTGCAGGCTCCTCCAGGCCTTCCCAACATGCACGCAGCAGGCTGGGGCTGGGGTACTGGTGACACTGGGGTACGTGGGTCTGCTGCACTCATTAGAGAAGGCAACTCCAATGAGCTGTTGAGGTGATGCCTCCCTCCGCTTTACCGCAGATCTCACTATTGCCTGATCTTGTGGCTCACTTTGGTAGAACATTTACCCCATAATGTTTTCAGTCTGCTCTTGTTAGGGAGTGAAAGGAGTGAAAGGACCTCCAATCCCATTTTTCCTAATACCTCCGTTTTATGGATGAACCAGTCAAGGATCCTTTGGGATTTGCTACTTTTGCCCTGGCTGGTGTATGACTGAGGCTCTTAAATCTTGCCCAGTTACTTCTGGTCTATTCCTTGACTTCAAAGAAACCATCTTAGAGAGAGAAAAATAAATCCAGTGCAAAAAGCATCATGATGAAATGCAGCAGGGGGGATGCTATGTAAATAGTCTCATCCTCCTCATCCCCAGCTCTGGGGGAATAAAAGGAGTGAAAGAGGTGGTGGTGGAGCAAAGCTATATAGGGCAGAGAAAGGGATGCAAGATGTGAGATGCTCAGTAAATGGGATATAGGCAAACTGCAGTTCTATATTACCACAAGTGAGGCCAGTCATCCAAGAGCAGAGTGCCAGGCACACTGCAGGTCACGTCCCCTAGAAAGCAGAGACTTGGGCAGAGCTGTGTGAAAGGAGAAGGGAGCGTGGTGGGTGAAGAAGAGGTCCCCAGCTCTGGTTTCTAAGGCTAGTGTGGTCCCTGGCTCCATTTAGGGGACATGGGCAGGCAGAAGAATGGAAGTTTTGTTATCCCTGGGCTTGCAACATCTATTTCTGGGAACCAGAAATCAAAAGGGTCATAGAGAACCTGTGAGCACTGAGAGCAAAGCTGCAATAACCAGGGAGACTCAAAGATCTCAGTGCACTTGGCTTTGTTAAAGGCAAAGGAGTGATTTGATGGGGAGGAGGAGAAATGTGATCATATAACCCTTCCCAGCCTAGCAAGAAAACATCCAAAGGCTGGAATTTGACACTGGGATAATTCAGACCAGAAAGAAGGTGAATGTTTTTAATGGCTGGGGAAATTAATTTTATGAGCATCTGACCCAGGGTTGTGGTTGATTGTCTGTCACTGAAAATATTAAAATCAATCTTGGATGGTTCTCTAAACTGTAGCTGCAGTTCAACTATTTGATTTGAAACTGGAATTAAATTTAGGGGAGTTCTGTGACCTGTATTATGAGGGGGAGGTCACTGTCACATTGCTCCCTGCTGGCATCAGTATCACTTGCTGGTGCTGGAAGAGCCATAAACTTCTGAATCCAGCCAGAGAACTACTGCTCTCTCTTGGTTTACTGTGACATTGCCAGCCCATCCTAATGGACAAAGTTGTCTGTTTGTCCTTCTTTTCTTCATTCCTCCCCTCCTGTGCTAAGTGTGTCTGAAAATACAGTTGCTGGCTGTGCCAGTCGTTTGAGGGGAAAAAATCCATGGGCATGTTTTATTTCTCTTAACAATCTAATTTTATTCCCTGTGGAGTGTGTTGCAGGGATTCCCCAGACCTCTGGGTGACTGATGTCATGCAGACTCCCGAGGGTTACTGCATGAGCTGGCCCTGGGTTGTCCCTCTGCCCCAAGGGACTCCGTCTGTGTCAGTTCTTCCCAGGTCTCTGTCTGAGCTGGCGACCACCTTCACTGCCTCCGCAAAAGGCAGCGACATCTTACCAGTAATCTGAAGTTTATAGTTTTATGTCCAAAGTATCATCACCTTTGTTGTTCATCAGAAGGGTGGTATAATTTTCTCAGATAATTCAGGTGATGAAATAGCTGTCCATAAGCATGGAAATTATTTTATTTTGAAGCGATGGTTTCAGTATTTCACCCGCGTTTTGTACACAGCAGGATTCTGGCTTATTTAAACCTAGTAAATTTAATTTCTATCCTATAGTAAAAATATGATATTTCAAAATTTGATTTAGCTCCAAATTTGAAAGAGAATAAAAAAAAAGGTGACATGAACAAACAAGCAAAACATAACATACCACACCACTTTGGGTTACCCCAACTGTGTTTGCATAACATTTTGTTGCAGGACTAACATTTTAAAGTAATGAATAGCGAGCATCAATGCTGAAGTAGCGCTGTTCAAATGAGATTTCAGAACAAAAACTGGAGGCACTTGCGGATTTTTTTACACTGCTATTTTGTGGGAAGCAGCACAAGTGTGCAATGAGTTTCCATTTGGGGAGGGAAGAGGTTTTGCTGGGAATTGCATTACCAGCTGCCCAGCCTGTGCCAGGCTCCGGGTTAGCTCTGCCGGGAAGCGCTGAAATGGTCCCGTTCGAAGCCAGCGGGAGGTGAATTTAAGTGCATGGTGTTTTGCCTAAACCAGAGGAGATGTTGCATCACATCAGAGCTCCAGCAGCACAGAGCAGTTTGTTGGTCCCCGGGGGTTGTTGGGGTGAGGCTGCGGTGGGACGCGGCGATGGGAAATACCTCCCCTGCACCACTACGCGGTGCTGACGGCCCTTCTCTCCTCTCTGTTTTCAGCCTGTGAAGATGGATATAAGCTGGAAAACGATACCTGTGTGAGGTATGGTGACTGTTCTGCCCTCCTCCTACCCCACTGTCCTTCTTAATATTGCTTTGGTGACCTGTCAGCACAACTAAGCCACTGAAACCCACTGTTGTTTTCTGTTACCAGCTGCCCGTTTGGCTTAGGTGGATTCAACTGCGGAAACCGTAAGTACCGAGTTTTGCTTCTTTTAATTTCTGCGGTGTCAGAAATGGGAAATTTGAAACAAGTAATTGCAAATGACTGTCTAAAACGCAGTAGGTTCATGCTACGCTTGCTTTATGTTTCTTCATTTTCTATTAAAAATTATATTGTTGACCATCTTTGACTAACTTGACTTTATGTTATCTCCTAAGGAAAGGAGATCTCCTTTCTTTGGATACTCTCATGATAGCACATATAGTGGGCACTCTAGAAGCAAGATATTCAGAGGTGAATATTGTTTGATTGATTCTGATCTATTAGTGAAGGGAATCTGTCCCCTAGGGAAATGAGAGCTTGTCCTTCCTTCAGCAGGAGTTCCCCAACTCCATCCATTTCACTTGAAAATTTAAGACAATAGTGCTCAGAGGGAGAGAAGATGGGAAATAAACAGTTGATCCCTTTGCATGAGGACTGTGGATATATTTAAATTAGTATTTGCAACTACATGGCTGTTTCTAATTGAGTCTCCATCTTTTCTGTCTGTAGCATACCAGCTCATCACTGTGGTGATCACGGCTGCAGGAGGGGGACTTCTGCTTATCATGGGCATAGCACTGATTGTCACCTGCTGCCGGTAGGTACCACCTCCAGCCCTGGCATCCTCTCAGTGGGTTACACCACACTTAATGCTTCACCTGTGAACCCCAAAGGACCAAAACAGAGGTGAAAACAGGATAGTTAAGCAAGTGGATTAATCAGAGATACTGATGTATTACATTGTGCTTTCATTTGGGGCATATCAATTTTTTTTATTTTTTTTTTTTCAAGCAACCAGGCTAAAAATTTCAATTCAGTGTCTCTTAAGGACGCACCTGGCAATCATGTCCTCTAAGGATGGGGAGGCAAAGGAGTCCTTCCAACTCAGAGTTGTAAGGCAGCCAGGGAGCAGTCTCCAAACAGCAAGCTAAGCTGACAGAAGAAGTTTAGGCAACAGGAGAGGTTGCTGGCTGTGGTGTTTGAGTGTATTTATGGCTGTTTTCATTTTTCTTTACGGACATGTCCTGCATGTGCTCTCACTTCATGCGTCTCTGTCTCTCAGGTGCACACATGTATGTACACACATAGTTCCCATACCAGCAGGTAGCTTCAGACTAGAGGCAAGATGTGCTGCCAAGGAAGGTGTGCTTCATGATTGATATGTCATGAAAAGGGCTGCCTTGCAGTAACATCCTCTCCCCTCCATTTCAGCCCCCAAATCTAGGATTTCAAAGCTCTCTGGCTAAAGTGGGCAGCTAGATTTATCAGTAAGATAGATATGGCAGTGGTTTGGTTGGCACAGCGGTGTGCACTTGTTCCCATGTGTTTTGAGCCAGGAGGATGCCAGCAAGCCCCAGCCAGGAGGTTTGATGGTCAGTACACCTCCAGGCCCCAGAGTGCAGATCTCTGTAGGGATGGGCTGATCTTCTCATGAGTCCTGACCTTTGGCAGGTTATGTGGCTTCCCTGGTGGGCTTCCTGGGTGGTACTGTGTGTTGAACTGGAAGTGTTGCCAAAGTCCACTCATACAACGTGATACTCATGTTGAGGCATTTGGTGTCATTCAGACTGGCAGCTTGCAGGCCTTCCTTCTCATGAATTAACATAGTGCCTAGAAGTGCTATAGATAAGCATTTGGAGACTTGAATAGCATAGGGGCTCCCATTTTTCTTTCTTCCTGGATTTCCGTGACTTTTTCATTGACTCAAGTGAACACTTTTAAGAGACAACAGGCATAAATTGGAACAGGAGAGGTTCAAACTGAATGTAGGGAAACACTCTTTCTCCCAGAGGACGATATGGCAGAGGAACAGGTTGCGTAGAGAAGTTATGCCATCTCCGTCCTTGGAGATTTCAAATCCCACCGGATAAAGCTCTGAGTAGCATGAGCTCTAATTTTGCCTCAGAGAAGAAGATTGGATACAGCATTTCTGAGGTGATCTTTGTCCTAGCCAAGGTTCATAACATGAAGTAAACCTCCTGAGATCACATCAGAAATGCATACAGGAAAACAGGATAAGTTGTATGTTTTCACTTTCCTTGATTCTTTTATAAACAGGAAGAATAAAAATGACATAAGTAAGCTAATTTTCAAGAGTGGAGATTTCCAGATGTCACCATATGCTGAATATCCGAAGAACCCCCGGGCACAGGAGTGGGGCAGAGAGACCATCGAGATGCAAGAGAACGGAAGCACCAAGAACCTGTTGCAGATGACAGATGTGTATTATTCGGTATATATCTAACCTTTTTGCTTAATACAGCAAAGACATATTCCTTTGTTTTTGGAAGGACAGATCCCGCAGATTTTGTGGACGCCCCATCCCTGGAAGTGTTTAAGGCCAGGCTGGATGGGGCTTCGAGCAACCTGCTCTAGTGGGAGGTGTCCCTGCCCATGGCAGGGGGGTTGGAACTAGATGATCTTTAAGGTCCCTTCCAACTCTAACCATTCTATGATTCTGTGATCCCTTTCCTGCAAAATAAAAGAGCAAATAAATTGCTTCCATAGACAGCAAGGCATTGGTAGTCCTATGGACTCCAGCTATTACATGTGTGGTGGATTTCACAAAGAGGTGTCATTAGGAAGAGTGCTAGGGAAAAGCCGAGGAAAAATTTGGTAGATTCCTAAAAAACCCAATCCTAGAGTAAAGGAGGAGAGTTAAAGGTTTTGGACAGGCTGCTAGGAATTCCCGTGGGTAGTTTTCTCCCTTCCATGTTCAGTGATGGTGCTGGAAGGTTGAGACCTCTGCCTGTGGAACTTCATCCCAAGATGGGAAGATGCTAATCACTGAGGACCCCTCTTTTCTTCCACTCCTCCTGCTCTCCAGGGTACAGGCCACTTCCTGCAGCAGGAAAGATGCATAAGGAGCATCCCTCCAGCTTTGGGGAAACAAGTGGTAGGGAGTAGTGGACTGTTGAGGGCAGAGAAAGACACAAGCACAAGACCTGCTGTCATGCTTGGTACCATCTGCTACTGTCTGTATCCAGAGCTGTGATGCCGTTGTATCATCTGTTACTAATCTACAGCAACATACTGGATGTACTTAAGGTGTGTGGAGGTTACTCATGTGAGTGAAAGTTGCAGGATTTCATCCAAATGATGCATTCTAGACTCCTACTTTCCAGAGCAGAGAGCAGCAAGGAGTACTTTTTTTTTTTTTTTTTTTTTTTTTTTTTTTTTTTTTTTTTTGGTTTTTTTTTTTGTTTTTCCAGGGGGCAAGTTTTTTGGGTTGCACCCCT